TGGAAGGAATGGGTCTCTTTTAGAGCTGCGATCTGTGCTGCCTGGGGTTAGAGAAGGGGTGATCCCAGGACTCCCTTAGCCATCCCAACTGACATCTCCCTAGGTCACATGCCCCCCACATCCACTGGCTCCGAGCCCAGCACAGCACTAGGACCTGCCTAGGTGTTGCGGTCTTTGTGGCCTAGACAGCCTTTCAAGTTTATTTAGGTCCTCCAAGCACTTTAGCCTATGGTGATGAGGCTTGCTAAAACTCACATTCTTACCATTTGGATGAGTGATTTCCTTCTGGCTAGGGCTGGTCTAAATGCTCCTGCAGTAGGCATGGACTGTTTTGCCTAGTGTTGGCAGCACTGACTTCCAATGCGAAGTCCCACAATTGCTGCACTCTCCCTCCCAAGTGCAAAGATTCTCTCTCTACACCACAGAGCCACTTCTGGGTGGTGAGGGAAGAGTGGTGTTGACAAATCAAAACTGTCTTTCTTACCTTCTTCAGTGCTTTTTTCAGCAATATGAAGTTACAAACAGGTACTGTGGTTGCTCACCTGATTTTTGGTTCTTATGAAGGTGCTCTTTTGTATAGACAGTTGTCAAGTTTGGTGTTCCTATGGGGAGGATGATCAGTGGAGGCTTCTGTTATGCCATCTTGCTCCAACTCCCTCTTGCTGTGTCTTCATTTTCATTAATCTGAAAGCATTTTCTAAATTCCTATGATTTCTTCTTTGACCCGTTGGTTGTTTAGTAGTGTGCTGTTGAATCTCTACATACTTGTGAATTTTCCAAACCCAATTGTCTTATTTATTTCTAATTTCATCCTATTGTGGTTGGAGAATACACTTTGTATAATTTCAAACCCAGAGTGACACTCCTTCTGTGTATGGTGGACACTGAAGGGCGGTGGTAGCTACTAGTCTTCTCGGCTTATCCTTCCCTGCAGAAAAAACTGGTGCTAAGAGCGAGCTAGGGAAGAGGTGATTGGAGCCAGTATTATCAGCCTCCTACAGCTGGAGTAGTGTTTATATCATATGAGTGGAGGTAGGTGGGGGAAGAGAGGTGCAGTCCTTTCTGTTGCACCTTTCTGGAACATAGTTTTTTCAACACAGTGCTGAGGGGAATGAGGAACACCAGCAGCCTGCTCCTCCTAGGTGAAACTGTATCCTGGGTGAGACTGGAAACTGGAGGAGAAAGAGCCCTGTCTTCTTGATTACACATGTCCAGGGTAGACCTTCCATAACATGGAGCTGGGAGAACAGGGAGAAGGTACTGGAGTGAGTTGTGGCTCAAATGCCATAGACTCTCACTGTTCCCACTGATACTTAGTAGATTCTTTTGAATGACATTTCTTTCCCTTTTCTACATGCCCTTAGAAAAATTTTCAGAGACTTTGACTGACTGCCTTTTTTTTTTTTTTTTTTTTTGAGACAGAGTCTTGCTCTGTCACCCAGGCTGGAGCGCAGTGGCAGGATCTCCGCTCACTGCAAGCTCCGCCTCCCGGGTTCACGCCATTCTCCTGCCTCAGCTTCCCAAGTAGCTGGGACTACAGGCGCCCGCCACCATGCCCGGATAATTCTTTATATTTTTAGTAGAGACAAGGTTTCACCATGTTAGCCAGTATGGTCTCGGTCTCCTGACCTCGTGATCTGCCCACCTCGGCCTCCCAAAGTGCTGGGATTACAGGCGTGAGCTACCGCGCCCAGCCCAATGATTGCTTTTAAAGTAATTTTCATCAGATAAACTGTTGTTTGGCCGGGGCGAGGGTATGCTGGACCCCTTATTACATCATCCCTGTAGTCCTGCTTCCCCAATAGTATTTTTATATAGAGAAATTTCTCCAGAAAGCCATCTTCTATCTGTCACCTTTCCTGATTTAACTATGATCAAATGTATTCAAGAAGTGTCCAAAGACCCAAGTTCCCTAGTAATAACCCGGAAGTTCAGTGATGAGGTAGTATAGACGGACAGTAACCTTAAAAAATGCCTGTGTTGAGTGAATGGTAGTTTTGGCATATTCCATTCTATTTTTGCTCTTGACGAATTTCACCATAGCGCTCCTATGAGAGATGGAGATCTGATAATTTCTAATGACAATTGGTGTATACATGATCATGAAAGACCTGGAAGGTGAACACCATTCTTTGGCAAGAATGAACACCTTGGGTACCTGGCCTACCTTACAGTTGCATCTACGTTTACATTTACATTTTAGCATTTACTACCTAGTGTTGCCTCACATGACCCCTCAGTCTAGGATTCAAAAAAAATATATATTGTGTTGGATTTGGAAGTGGTTTGGACATAATGGAGAGGAAATACTGCGTGATGAATGGAGCAAATTGATTTGATGCCCGATGTCTTTTTTCTTGTCAAGTTTAGTGTACCTTCAGGGCTCAAAGCCTTTTGCTAGTTTATTGAACCCAGCTCATGAATTACTTCTCTTCCCTGCTAAGGAAAAATGGACATTTCATCTCTGATGAAGATATCATAGTCTCTACACAATATCTGTTTTAGAATTCTACTTATTCCTATTAATCTTCATGGATAAACTTTATGGAGCAAGGATCTTTGAATATTTAAATATTTAAGGCCTTTATAATATTGCTTCTGTGTGTTAACAAAAAACCCATGCTAAAAAAGATAAAATAATGATTGAATAAACTCCAGTGAAATTTCTTACCTATGTTTTCCCCAGCCAAAGATGTCTTATGATTCTGGACAAAGTGACCCAGAGGGTCTACAGTGGGAAACTCTCATGTAAATCAGAAATGTTCATCACTGTCTGGGATTCATTCTATAGTATTATAAAAAGAACACTTCCTAACCATTCCCCAGGCCATGGAAGACAGAGCGCCTATCAACTCTTCTACCTTTCAAAGATAGTGTTGAGGACAGAAATTCTGCCCCTATCTCCATCCATTACTTGCTTTTGCCCAATGAAAGAAGTTTAATTAACATGATTGGAGATTGTCTGACATCCATTAAGCCATACTCAGCAAACGGGTGGAGTAACAGTGATTCCAAATAAAATTAGCATTTTTCTTTCTCCTTTTCACTGCCTTACTCATATACTGGTAAATGTGAGAGCAGTTGTCTTCTCCTGTGTGTAAGCGGTTATGTGTAGTAAGCATACTTGGGACAGGGCCTGTAGCATGCCCTCCATATAGAAACTTGGTCAGTCTCTCTCTCTCTCTCTCTCTCTCTCACACACACACACATACATACACACACCACACACACGCACACACACTCACGTACACACACATACACTTTTGTTCCTTTTATCCTTGCTCTTGCTGGTGACTGTGTGTGTAAGGAAACCTGTGATCCTTAGAGATGGCTTTGTAAGCCAGTGTATACTCAATAGATACAACTTTCTGCACAGGCATGCCCTAAAATCTCATTTTAGTAAGGAAATAGGAAGATGCTATTTTAGACTCAAGATACAGCCACATTTCTCTAATCCAGCTTTAGCAAGAGCAGCATATGTTTTGGGATCATTGAGCCCTTGTCTGGTTCACTAATTAAGCTGATACTCTGATCCTCATTTAGCTATTAGTTTACCATATCTATTTTTTGCATGAGACAGAAACCAGAATGGAAGAATGAATCTTACTTCCTCCCTCCAATTTACAAAAGCTTCAACAATTCATTCGGCAATTCTCTGTGTTGACAGTCTCAGTAAACAACTTACGAAAAAGAACGAAAGAATATATGGACTTTTAAAATATCAAGTCAAGTTCCTTAATATCTGTACATCTGTTCAGACCCCAACCTTGATCTGTGGTTTTGAATCCAGTCCCAAAAAGATATCTGACCTCGTGATAGTGGCTCTTCTTGTCCCAAGATGGCTCTGACTCCAGCTACCTTCACACCAGAGCTTTGATCCAATCAAATCCTATATATCTGGAAAACAAACGTGTGAAAGAGATCATCTCATCTGGAGAGTACTGAATAGTGATAAAGATGATTCTATACAGCTTTATTGCCAACAGGGAACACCTACACCCATGACCTTATGGCACAAAACCAGCACTGTGACTCTTTCAATATACAGACTAAGGTCATCAAGACTTTTAGCAGCCCCATATTTTATTTTTACTTAAATTTTTATTTTTAATTGACAAATAATAATTTCATGTATTTAGGGGGTACAATTTGAGGTTTTGATATATATGTACACATTGTAAATGATTATATCAAGTTAATTAACATATCCATCATTTCACATACTTATAATTTTTGGTGGTGAAAATATTTAAAATCTACCCTTTTGAAGTGAAGGAGCTCTTCAAGGAGAACTACAATCCACTGCTCAACGAAATAAAAGAGGACACAAACAAATGGAAGAACATTCCATGCTCATGGATAGGAAGAATCAATATCGTGAAAATGGTCATACTGCCCAGGTAATTTATAGATTCAATGCCATCCCCATCAAGCTACCAATGACTTCTTTCAAAGAATTGGAAAAAACTACTTTAAAGTACATATGGAACCAAAAAAGAGCCCACATTGCCGAGACAATCCTAAGCCAAAAGAACAAAGCTGGACGCATCACGCTACATGACTTCAAACTATACTACAAGGCTACAGTAACCAAAAGAGCATGGTACTGGTACCAACACAGAGATATAGACCAATGAAACAGAACAGACCCCTCAGAAATAATATCACACATCTACCACCATCTGATCTTTGACAAACCTGACAAAAACAAGAAATGGGAAAAGGATTCCCTATTTAATAAATGGTGCTGGGAAAACTGGCTAGCCATAAGTAGAAAGCTGAAACTGGATCCCTTCCTTACACCTTATACAAAAATTAATTCAAGATGGGTTAAAGACTTAAATGTTAGACCTAAAACCATAAAAACCCTAGAAGAAAACCTAGGCAATACCATTCAGGACATAGGTATGGACAAGGACTTCATGACTAAAACACCAAAAGCAATGGCAACACAAGTCAAAATTGACAAATAGGATCTAATTAAACTAAAGAGCTTCTGCATAGCAAAAGAAACTACCATCAGAGTGAACAGGAAACCTACAGAATGGGAGAAAATTTTTACAATCTACCCATCTGACAAAGGGCTAATATCCAGAATCTACAAAGAACTTAAACAAGTTTACAAGAAAAAATCAAACAACCCCATCAAAAAGTGGGCAAAGGATATGAACAGACACTTCTCAAGAGAAGACATTTATGTAGCCAACAGACACACGAAAAAATGCTCATCATCACTGACCATCAGAGAAATGCAAATCAAAACCACGATGAGATATCATCTCACACCAGTTAGAATGGCAATCATTCAAAAGTCAGGAAACAAGAGGTGCTGGAGAGGACGTGGAGAAATAGGCACACTACACTGTTGGTGGGACTGCAAACTAGTTCAACCATTGGGGAAGACAGTGTGGCGATTCCTCAAGGATCTAGAACAAGAAATACCATTTGACCCAGCCATCCCATTACTGGGTATATACCCAAAGGATTATAAACCATGCTGCTATAGAGGTACATGCACACGTATGTTTATGGTGGCACTATTCACAATAGCAAAGACTTGGAACCAACCCAAATGTCCATCAATGATAGACTGGATTAAGAAAATGTGGCACATATACATCATGGAATACTATGCAGCCATAAAAAAGGATGAGTTCATGTCCTTTGTAGGAACATAGATGAAGCTGGAAATCATCATTCTGGGCAAACTATCACAAGGATGGAAAACCAAACGCAGCATGTTCTCACTCATAGGTGGGAATTGAACAATGAGAACACTTGAACACAGGAAGGGGAACATCACACACTGGGGTCTGTCTTGGGTGGGGGGAGTGGGGAGGGATAGCATTAGGCTATATACCTAAAGTAAATGACGAGTTAACGGGTGCAGCACACCAACATGGCACATGCATACATATGTAACAAACCTGCACATTGTGCACATGTACCCTAGTACTTAAAGTATAATAAAAATAATCTACCCTTTTTGCAATTTTTAAATCTACAATACATTATTATTCACTGTGGTTATCATGCTGTGCAATAGATCTTGAAAATGTATTTCTCTGTAACTGAAGCTTTGTACTTTTTGATCAACATCTCACTGTCCCCCAACCCCACCCAGCCTCTGGTAACCCCCATTCTACTTTCTACTTCTATTAAGTTTGGCTTTTTGAGATTCTACATGTAATTGAGATCATGCAGTATTTGTCTTTCTATGTCTGGCTTATTTCACTTAGCAAATGTCCTCCAGGTTCATTCATATTGTCACAAATGACAGAATTTCCTATTTTAATCCTGAATAATATTCCACTGTGTTTATGTACCACATTTTCTTTATCCATTCATCTGTTGATGGGCATTTAGGTTGATTCCATATCTTGCCTATTCTGAATAATGCTACAATAAACACAGGAATGCAGATATATCTCCAACAAACTGATTTTATATCCTTTGGATATATACTCAGCAAAGTTCTCATGGCTTCTCATTGGTTCAGATTTAGTCACATGCCAATACATAAGATCATCACTATAGCCAGGGAGATCCTGACTTGCTTGGACCAAATAAGGTCTATTCCTAGAGCTGAGGCTGGAGGCCAATTCCAACCAAACCAAATGAGTTGAGAATAGGGCAAAGTGGGTCATCAAGCAAAAGATGAAGTGATATTGCTGGAATACTTGAGAATAAATATTCAAGAGATATATCAGTGTCCTCTATAGCTTGTCTCTTAATCATGACTAGAACTCTCCCTTAGGCTAAACTATTATTTGCAGCCCTGGATAAATACAACATTTCAATCCATAACTTTATGGTGTCTTAAAGAAGCTGAGCACCAAGATTTACCTAGGCTTTCTTCCAGAAGCACTGCCTATGTTCTACATAGTTAGTATGTCCTTCTTAGTGCCCAAAATATCAGACAAATATAAAGAGGATACCTCGTAGAAAAACTTTTCTGCTGTCCTGTCTTCAATAGGATATCTAAAACACACTCTAGCTTGGTTAACAGTAAGGATTGAGTGGCTGTTCAGTGCTAGTCTCTCCAGCAATGTGTCATTTGGTTTTCTGGCTACAGATGTGTTTCTGGGACAAGAGTTAAAGCAAGAAATTTTCCATCTTTGTTAGAATGGGATCCTAAAAGCCAAAAGATGAGCCAACTCAAAATCCTTTTTGAGAGAACAGAAACTCAAAAACCAAGTTCCATAATTATAGTCATGAGGTAAGATGGTTCCTCCAGACTTTTAATACTACCTTGAGTGGCGTGATTAATTTCTGCCTGCAACTACAACATCTACATCCCTAGTTTTCATGATAAACATGCACTCGGGCCAGATATTTTGCTCAGGGATTCTCATACATAAAAAGATGGCTCACTGTGTTGTGTTAGAAGAATCCATCCCTACTTAGTAAAGGCACATTAGGTTAGGGTGATCCAGGGTAATGGAAGAGTTTGTTGAAGAGCATCTAGAGATATTGAAATGCTTCAATTACTGCTGGGGTCCAAAAGATAGCTGCATCTCCTTACTTGTTTAGGTGGGAGAGTGGTCAAATAAATTAGTGCAATAAAATAACAATTACTATTTATTGACTAATGACTATGATAGGCACTATGCTAAATATTTTACATACATCACCCCATTTAATTTGTATAGCAAGCCTATGAGGTAGTTATGATTACTATCTGCTACCCTAATAAGAGACTAAAATAGGACAAAATTAAGTAAGAATGATCCTGAGGCAGAGCAAGGGAGTGTAGAATGATTTCCCAGAATGTAGGAATAAAACAGGACTTGAGTAAGCATTATGTCTAAAACGTTGTGAGCTTCAGATAACACTATAGTTTTCTGTTGATCATAGGAGCAATAAAATAATTATCAGGCACTGGAGAGGAAAAAAGAAGCAACAGTGAAAGTTGCCAGACCTAAAGGGTTTTTCAGACAGGCAGGCAGCCAATTCAGCAAAACTTGAATGACAAATGGCAAAGGACCAGATGCAATAGTTAACATGTCAGTGATGCCAGATAATACAGACAGATAATATTGAAGACAAGATTCCCATTGTACCCCTGATCTTTATGCCCTTGTACCTTGTAAACTCCTCCAAACTTAGATATAACCTTTTAGAGAAGGCAAAGATCACTAAAAATTAGTTCAGATTATTTTCCCTACATGGAATATCTGGAATGAAGGTTGCATTGTACTTCAGAGCATGTATAGGAGGAATACACATGAAATCCCACACCCCATTTATATTATAGTGCTTCATATAGTTGGCCTAGAAAGTGGTGAGAAACAAAGATATTGTACCATAAACACTTTAGTTCATTGTCTCTGATTATTCAGATGGAATGTAAATGAATGGGATATGAGTGAGCTAAAGAAAGGGTAAATATAAGGAGTTGGGAGCTGAATGTAAAGAAATGAGAAGCTGGAAGTGAAAAGTAATAGGTTTTGCAACATTCTTAACTTGGAATTGGCCTGGAGTTGGTACTTGAGATTTCCACAGGATCAAGTGAAGTGGATGTGACAGAAGAAGCAGATTGGGTCTCTTACTCAGTGGTTTACCTTGGTGAGAAGCACTTGGAATGATCTTTGCTCCAATTCAAGGTCCTCTTATAAATGATGTAGTTCCTCCAGATATAGACTAATGCCTAATGTCAAAAGTGTGCTGGCTGGTGCAGAAAATACAGGGGTGAAACTTGTAATTGCCCTAAAAGAGAGTCTGCTTGTGGACGAGAGCAGAGAAATTTCTTTGCTCTTCAAATACTATATTTATTTCACATCCTTTCCTGGGGCATTGGTTTGAGAATGTTGATGTCACTGATATGTAGATTGGAATTTGGAGTGCCTTAAAAGTGTATCCTTCAAGCCAGGATAATTTTGTGTGATTCAACTGAGTGCAAGCCCTGATCCAGAGAGAAACAGCCTAAATATCAAAGGAATTACAAGACCTAAGGAATTGACAAAATGTAAGTCTGAAAAAAAGAATTTATTGTTACTGGAAAATTCATCTATGCATCAGAACATTTTTAAACTTTTGTTTTGAATTAAGTAAAAACTTAGGAAAAGTTTCACAAATGGTACAAAGAGTCTTCAGGTTCCCCAAATGTTAATACTTCTATATTTGCTTTGTTAATCTCCTTCCCCCAACTCCCTTCCTCCCTCTCTCTTCCTCTTCCTCACCCTATTATCTTCCTCAGCACATAATACATATTAACTATTTGAGAGTAAGTTGGAGATGTCATGCCCTTTAATCCTAAATAATTCAATGTATATTTCCTAAAATCAAGGACATTCTCTTACAATGACAATACAGTTATCAAATTGAAGAAATTAGCATTAATGCAATATTTTTGCTCATCTATTGACCTTATTCAAAGTCCACCAATTGTCCTAATAATGTACTTTATAAGCACATGAAATTGCAACTCACAAGTGGCATGCAGTTGCCACATTCCTTTAGTATACTTTATGTGTGAATTTGAATTTAATGATCTGGCAAGGCTACCTAAAGATGATCTTAATATTTATTTGAGAGGCTTCTTGAAGCTCAACCATGTTGATGGGTTATAGTAACCAAGGTAGAGTCATCTGAACTTTCTTGGCATAGTATGTACTAAGAAAGTAAGCTCAGGGGGTTAAAATAGATTTATAATGTAAGACTTGGAAACCCACCACTTGACTCTGTACCACAGAAGAACTAGAAGTTACCCCTTTTACAAAGCATGCACTAGTGATGGAAACAATAGCATCTTTGAGCTCAATGATGGCTATTATCTGTAGGCTATGGTTGACAGTGTGAGATTCTGCTAGGGAAATTGGCTCTCTAATACTGTTACGGGATCTCTAGGATGTCGATTTTTCTGGCTGGAAACCTCTGTGGCCGAGGCACCTTTGTCCTAGTTCTTGCCCTGCATCCAGGAAGAGTGAGGTTCTCAGACAAATGAAGGGTGAAGAAGTAGAAAAGTTTTATTTACTGTTAGAGCAGTTGCAGTGAGCCGACAGGGTGCCATTGTATTCCAGCCTGGGCAACAGAGTAACACTCCGTCTCAAAAAACAAACAAACAAACAACAACAAAGAAAAAAACAGCTCAGAGGAGTGAGTAGCTCCTCTCTGTAGGCAAGTCATCCCTTTGACTGTTCAGCTATCAGCAAAGAGGAGGCGCTGGAGAGAGCAGCTCTTCTCTGCAGACAAGTCATTCGGACATCTCTGCAGGTCTCTGAAGCTCTCAGCAGAGAGGGTAGCTCCTGTCTGCCGGCAGGTCGTCTCTGCAACATTCAGTGGAAGGGTACTCCCCTCTGTAGCTGGTCGTTCTGTCCCATCATCTCTCTGCCCTCTTCGTCCTCTGGCCGTCCTCTCTCCAACTCTGGCTGATACCAGGGCTTTTACGGACCTCAGAGGGGAGGAAATGCTTGCCCATTGGTCCATAGGAGGCCATGGCAGGCTGGAAGAGGCACCATGAGCTGCATCCCGCCGCCATTCGTGTCTCCCCGGGCTCGGCCCCAAGC